GCAAAGGGGGAGAATCCAACAGAAAGAAAAAGTCATGACAATGATAAGTCAATATGTATCAGTTATAACCATCAATGTTAATGGTCTCAACTCACCATTCAAAAGAAACAGACTGGCAGAATAGGTCAAGAAGCAAGATCTAACAATATGCTGCATACAAGAAACACATTTACTTCAAAAAGAAACTCATAGACTGAAAGTTAAAGGGTGGAAAACAATACTCCATGTGACAGGAATCTGAAAAAAAGCAGGAGTAGCTATCCTCTTTGCAGATCAAGTGGATTTCAAGCCAAAATCTGAAACGCTTCTGGTCCCAAGAATTTCAGATAAGGGATAGTCAACTTGTATGTACAAATCTATTGTGAACATGTGCTTTCATTCCTCTTAAGTAAAAACTTAAGAACAAAACTGTTCTTAACAGTAATACAAGTAATTTCTATGTTGTTTTCCAAAATGGTTTTATCATTTCACATTCACATTAGCAGTATTAGAAAGTTCTAACTGGTTCACACCTAAGCTGATATCTCTTCTTTTAAAACTTTTAACTTCATCTCCCTAATGAGTGTGTAATATGATCTTGTTATTGTACTGATTAATATTTTTCTGATTCTAGTGTTACACACCTTTCCTTGTGCTGTACTGGCTATTTATCATCTTCTTGTGTCTACTTTTTAATTGGGTTGTCTATTAATGAGCTGTAAGGGTTCTTTATCTATTCTGGCCATAGGTTATATGTATTTTAAATATGGTCTGTTTAAGAGCTACTTTTCATTTTCTTAAAGATCTAAATTTTGATGGAATCTCATTTATCAATTTTTTTCTCTTATACATCATGTTTTTTGTATCCTAGGAATTTCTTGCCTACCCTAAATTCATAAACATTTTCCCTTATAATTTCTTCTTAAAGTTTTATAGTTTTAGTCTTTCATATCTAGGTTCATAGATCTTTTTAAGTTATCTTTATGTATGGAAATAAAGGGTTGAGGTTACTTTTTTACATACAGATACCAGGTGTTCTAGTACCATTTGCTGAAAACACTATCTTTTCCTCTGCTTTTGGGTTTATGTTCTATAAAATGTTAATGTTAAATAATCTTTCAAAACTCAGTGGACATATATGCGTGGTTCTATTTCCAGATTTTCTGTTTTGTTCCAATGATCTATGTCTTTCCTTATGCCAACACTGCCTTGATTACTGTATCATTAGAGGAAGTCTTAAAATTAGATAATAAGGGCCAGGGATTTAGCTCTGTGGTTCCGCCACCTGCCTCGCAAGCACAAGGACCTGATTTTGATCCCTGGTACCAAAAAAATAATAATAATAATTAGGTAATAAATGTCTTCCAACACTATTTTTTTTTCTTTTTACTTTTCTAGGTCCTTTGTACTCTGACATAACTTTTAAATTTCAATATCCAATTCTTCATTTAAAGCAAGTATACATAAACCTGAATTTTTATATATACATTGTGTTTTCTAATCCTGCTAAATTCAAATACAAGTTCTAGGGGCTCCTAGAGATTTCTTAGTGTTTTCTCTGTAGATGATTATTTCATCTACATATAAAGATTTTACTTACACCTTGCCAATCCTATGCTAATTGTTTCTTTTCACTGCCAGACTATTTTGGTTTGGGCCTATGTTTCAAAGTTTAATGGACAGATGAAGAGTAGGCATATCTGCCCTTGTTCCCCACCTTAGGGAGAAAGCACTGTATCTTCTCCACTCATATAAGGTGTTTTCACTGAAGTACGGAGTACATGTCTTATCCGTTGAGAAGGTTCTGTTCTACTTCTAGTCTCCTGATAGCTTTTACCATGAACAGCTGTAGAATTTAGTCCAATACTTTTTCGGCAACTACTGATAGGATCATATGGCTTTTTCCTTTCCTCTGTTAAAATGATGACTTATGGGGGTGGATCTTCCAATGCTGAACCAACACTGCCATCCCTATAATGAAACCACTTTCTACATACTCCCAGATCTGACTCCTAATTATTTTGTTAAACAAATTTTTATTTATATTCATACTTTTTTCTTCTGTTATCTTTATCCAGTTTTAGTATTACATAATGTTGATTTCCTAAAATGATGGGAGAAGTGTTCCTTCTTTTTCTGCTTTAAACGTTTGGTATAATTCATCAGTTAAAATGTATATGAGCCTGCTGTTGTCATATAGGTAGGTTTTCATGCTAGGAATATACTTTAATAGGTGCTATTCAAATTTTATATTTCCTCCAGCGTCAGTTTCATTAATTTGTCTTCCAAGGTCCTTCTTAGAAGTTGTCAAATTTATTTCAAAAAAGATTTTTGTAATATGCTTTCTATATCCTTTTAAGTTCTATAAAATCTGTGGTAATGTCTCCTAGGTCTTGATATTGTAATTTTAAAAATGTATAATTGATATTGTGTTATAGGAAGAAAAGGTCTAAAGGAGCAGGGAAAGTAGGAGGGGTAGGGGAAAGGAAAGAAGGGAAAAGAAAAAATATGAGAAAGGGAAAAAATGGAAACAAAGTCTTTGCAAATAGAGAAGGGTGGAGGGGGTGAAGGGAGGGCAGGGGAAGGGGAAAAAAATAAGAACCAAGATACATCATGTAAGGGTACAAGATCCCAATGATGAATGTAAGTGTATTTTATATCTATAATGAATGTATCATAAAACTTAATGGGGGGAAAAATATTCAACTAGACACAAAACATTGACCCCCCCAAAAAAACTAGTATATCCAAGAGAAATACTAACAAGACTAAAGATACATACAGAAATATGTTACATCAATGCTATTTAAATAGTAAATACTGCAAAGTATCTAATTTTTCTTCCTTAAATATTTATTGAGATAGGTACTATGCTTGTTTATATTAAAGATTTAGGTATTTACTATAAAAGCAATTTTAAAATTCTGAAATGTTTTAAACAGGCATGTGACATGACTAGACTTTTATTTTGGGAAAAAAAAGTTTATAGAGTAAAAAATTAATTCAAGACTAGGAAGGTGACTAGAGAGTCTATTTAAGAACATACTCTATCAGCCTAAGTAGATGACAATGAAAGCTTTCATTAAAATGGAAAGGATTAG